ATATGTACATGTACATAACATATCGAGCAACAAAATCTATCAATATCGTTTAAGCGTGATTTAGTAACAGACATCTAAACATCTTTACGCGTTTACATTTATAATATTTGTAGGATTTTTAATGTGAGTTCCGAAGCATGTTAATAAATAACTAACTCGGTACATACGTGCGTAGCTTTTATTTTCGATGGTAATTTGTTAGTTTATTTTTTCGTTGTAATAATAATGCGGTGTCGATTAGGTATATAATTTAGAATTGATTCAATAATGACGTACTTAATGTCGACAAAAATGTTTACTAATATTTGATTGTTGCTGTCAAGTTCCTATTTAGGTTAATAGCATTCCGTTTATGTTGTACACATTAGGCTATGAGTAGTTAGTGGTGTAGAAAGAAGACTTTGTATAAAGTGATCTGGGTAGGTCAGAATAGATATTCTTATTCTGTTATTATTTGCATGTGTTACTATAAGCAATGACTACTTTCCAACATGTCAAGTATCATTGCAATAGCTTTTCGATGTAGTAGTCCATACAACATAATAAACCAATTTTAATTAAGATGAGATAAGAGAGAATTATTTGAGATAAAAGTAAATATCTGAAACTTTTCTCAAAAAAGTAAGATAGAAATCTACAAAAATGAAAATTAGAATCAGTAGTCTTCTCTTAAAAGTCGGAATCTCGGTGTCCTTTTGAAAGTAGGAAGTGCTTACTCGACGGCGGGGACTGATTTATTGGCTCCACCCGTCGGATATGAAATCGGCTGGCGTTCTTAAAGGATACTCTTTGTGGAAATTGAAAAATTAAAATGGCTTTTAATTCCACTATAACGTAGAACTAAGAACTTGAAATAATACACATTTCCAGAATTTAAATCTCAAAATATAGTGATGAAATGTCATAAAATAATAAATAAACGAGTATGAGATGAATATAGCACGACACGATCGATAATCTTTGTATATTTGCAGAAATAATTTTACATTTTTTAACAGGTGAAAATATGTATGTATTACACCGTCTAATATCAGTACGCGAACAGTATACCTACAATAACACTGAGCGTACATTCATTATTCATTTAACATTAACTTTAGTATATGTTTAACATAGTCCACATATATTATCCTGGACAGTGATCCTTCGAGACGTATCTGAACTATTCCTATCAATAAATGGAAACAAAATATTATTTTTTTATTAAATATTAGAAATGTATTGTTTAACAAAAGTTATTGACTTTAATTGTAACTAATTCTTCTATGGAACTAAAAGGTAAACTATTACGTTTAAATTTAACATTAAATAGATAAAATATGTGTAACATGAATATAAAAAGAATATAGATTTGCGAAAGTCATCCTTTTTTAGCCGTTTATAAGTAGTAAAGTAATATTGTTTTACTGAGCACAAACTTCACCCACATAGATTCTAGTATAACTCGTTCTTGATGGGTTAAAACATTACGCAGAAAAATTCAGAGCAGCGGTGTTCTCGTCATTATTATATTTATGGGAGGTGTTTGCGTGAAACACCAGCATCGAACGAGTTTACTGGCCATCAAAAAAACAGTCAAGTAGCAAAGTGGCCATAAAACACGGGTTCTGTATTTATTTTATTGAGACTTTACCGTGTATCGTGAGTGTTATGAGTTTATGACATTAATTTATACGTTTAAGGTTTCGCTTTGTATATGTTTTCAGTATGTATGTGGTGTCTATTTTTTTTTATGTAAATACTGTCTTATGTATTCTTCTCATAATGTACATATATTTATCTCCTGAACAAGCCTGTAATAAATTATTACAATAAACGCTCATCTTTTGCGATAGTCATTAGAATAATTATATACTTATGTTTCAAATTTATGTAATCGAAAATAAGAATTACTGCACTATTTATATCTATATTATATTATTATTATGATACAAAATTGAAATTACGGTATTGAAACTCGACCGATGTTATACCAACTGTATATATTTCAAAAGGCAAACGATATCCGAGAAAATTAAGTGAATAAAAAATTGAGACAGTCCTCTCTGGATTTTCCGCAATAAATCAAAAGTTGTCATACTTCCACTTGCTATAGACAGATGGTTGAAGGCACAAAAGAGTTCTAAGGGGCTCGCTTTTGGATATTTTTCAGGGACAGTATCCTAAAAAAATCCAGGTGGGCTTGAAGTTGGAAAGCTAAGCGCTTCCAAGATAAGTTCAAGTTATTTCCTGAAAAGTATAAAAGTTTTAATTGATGATTCCTGAAGATGAGTGGGCATGGAGGGAGTAGGGAGATGCAAGAGGCTTCCTGCTTACTCGTAAAACATTAGTTACGAGTGTATAGCCTTAAAATTGTTATTAAGAGGTACTCGGTAGTTATTAAAGAGAAGTAATTGAATATAACTGAATTATGTTAAATCTCATCGTACAATTAATTATTAGATGAAATATTAATTACTCTTACATAATTCTATTATTATATTATGTTAGTCACAGATTAAAATATTGTTATGTCTATTATAATACAATATTATTATAAATATATAAGTGTCACTTCCAGGTATCGCAAGGGTGTAATAATTTTCTGAATTTCGTATATATTAACATAATAAGCAGCGTATCAAATGTAAAATATGATTTAAATGTGAAATAAAACAGTTCCTTTGCAAAAAAGCTTATCTAAATTATTATCTAATAAATATTATTACGATAAATATTATCTAATTACACTAAGAATGAGTGCGTAGCGATTTCTATGTTGATTATCGCATGCCTCTTACTTGTTATACTGTAATTATTTATATAAAAAAATATCTATTAAAAAGAGCAACACACAAGTTTCTTGCTCATTCTTCTTGTGATGAATCTGCATTCCGAATGAGCGGTAGAATCAAAATATGACTATTTAAAAGTACTTGTAATGAGTTTATTTGAATAAAGATTATTTCTATTTCTATTTCTACTGTTGAAGTTTGATAATAAGGAGTAGAGTTGTCTAAAAATAAACACGCATACGAAGTCACAGATCCAATTTGTTTATTAAAAATGCCTAATTGGTTCTGAAGTTACACGGTATGATACAATAAAATGCCAAAGCAACAGTATTATTGCAAGAAGCACACTGAATGAGCAATTTAATGACCGGCCAGGTGAATCTCAGAAGTCTTTCACTGGAGTTTTGTCGTGTCTTTAGTTTTTCGCAGTTTCGAAGTTGTACAGAACGCGGAACAACCTACGGTCAATTAAAAACTGCACTAAAGTTTTCCTTTAGTTAGAATTCACTTCATTTCCTGTATTTTATAAAACGTGTTATGATTTTCTGTTAAATAACAGAAAATCATAACACGTTTTAGTTAAATAAAATTTAGTTAGTTAAATAACTAACTAAATTTTTCTTTTGGAATTCCAATATATGCATAATAATTTAGTTAAAATAAAATATTGTATTAAAATATAACTTTTTCGTATAAAAAACTGATTTAGAACATAAAATTTGGATTCTTTAAGTATATAGCCCGCTTTTACTAGCCTGACCTCATCTCTCGTGTATCATAAAATAGTACATTATTATAGAATTTTATACAGCTTTTCTTAGAAGTGTAATATTGTGACAGTCATTTATTGAGATTATTTCAATTATATTATTTATATATATTGGCAATCAAATCAGTGTACAGCTAGTAACTAATCACCGTAGTCTATATAATTGTCAACAGCAAATTAGGTACTGAGACTATACCGTTTAGCAGTTTTAATTTATATATTATTTGACGGTCTCGGTGGTCTAGCAGTTTAGCACACCGCCTTATTTCCGATGGTTGCGAGTTCGATTCCTCGCACGGCACTAACATTGGTATCCATAACTATGATTGTTTGTATCGGTCGGTCGGGTGTTTTCTATGTATGTATGTATTTACAAAATAAAATCAATGTATTTGTATCAGTTGTCTAGTACCCAAAACCAAGCTTTAGCTAGTTTAATTTTGGTCTAAATGACGCTGTGTGAATTGTATTGCGATTATTATTATTAGTTATATTGTTTTATTAATGGTAACACGTGACAGCTTCACTGAATCTGCGAGCGTATTAAATTCAAAGTCCATAAAAGCTAACCCGCGTATTCACTGAACATATTTCAAGCCGAAAGCGTTATTAAGCTGATGTTAAGTCAATTACGAGTCAAGTCCCTTATTAGGGGCGGATACCGGCGGATATACGGATTTAAGTGCTTCGAGGCGCGTCGGGTCGGAAACTAGGATCGTGGCGGTTTCACTTGGCTCCTACGGGCTACAGAGTTACGGGGGCGAAGTGCTCTCCAGATCAGACCAATCCCAGAGTACGTGACGTCACGGTCTACAACGAATGGTTTTCAATGCAAACGTAGAATTTCTAAGCTACGAATAATTGATTAAACTCGCTTCTGTAATGTAAACTTCGGAGTTTATCAGTATTATCGCCATTACACGTATCTATCTATTATCACGTACTATATTTCTTGATATATATGTATATACATATCTTCTTTTTGAATAGGAATCCCTTTCAATGCAGTAAACCAGTGCTTCAATAAACTGGTTCAATTACCAGATGGCTCATGTTAGGTGATAACTTATTACAAAGTCTACCTGGATAAATATCAATATTTGTATCATACCAAAGCAAAATAGTCGTGTCACAATACTCGTTGTATTATTGTCCATATTCTGGCAGTAAAATTATTTTGTTTGTCACAAAACCAATATAATTACGAAATATACCTAAAATAATGTCACAATTAAAGTTAGACGACAAAACATCAAATACAAACATTATACAACAGAAATGTTAAACATTAAATTCATAAATATTAGTACTATTGTTACACATAATAAATTATCGGGTTCGATAAAATAAATAATTCATCATATAATCCGAACAAATAACCTTTCAACTTTTGGGTCTGTACCTACGTATATATATATATATATATATAACTAATCGTTTTTCTCTTTTGTTAACAGATTTCGTCCAATTGAAATTAAAGGTAAGCGGACACTTCAAATAGGCCACAGAAAAAACACATTACGCCGCCTAATGGAAATAGAAGGAACCAGACGAAAATACCATTAAACATTTTTCAATAAAACCCCCAGTGGATGTCATTTCTCTTAGCCATTAATTCATCTATTGTGAGCGACGGGGACCGATTGCCCACGAATTCAATCAGTCCGGGACGTCGTCCGACTCCGTTGGGACATTTGTCCGATTATCGAATGAACGGGTGACTCGCGAGAGTTTTTGACCGTCGTAATATATTGATACATATATATGAAAACGGTTGATTGTTTTTTTTTTTCGATAACTATTAATAGACCAGAAAGTTAATGACGCTGTTGTAGTTATTTCAGTTGGAACGATTAGTGTGTTTAATTTTACTATTTTCATACTGCGTAAATTATTCGAGAGTATCAAAATAGTAACGACAGATCAAGATGAAACTGTGAGTTTTTAATAAAACTAAATTTTTTGATTATTATCTAGTTCACACTTGATATTTTTTTTTCTGTAATAAAATTGTATATATTCTATGTAACTAACATAACATTATATATGTAAAATTATTTTCTAAATGTTAAATAAATATCTAATATAAATATTTGCATAACAAGAATTCGTCTATTTGAATGTCTATTACTGTATATTTCTTAATGTATCAGCAGCTCGTTTACTCTGGATATCGTTAACGTAAACGACGTTCCGTGACGTAATTGGAAATGCATTACGCTCGAATAGTTTCAAGATAGGAGTCTAAGTTTTGTTGGAAGATAAAATTGTTTATGTATGTAATGTCGAGTAATTATTGTGGGAACTTTTTGGTGTGAGTATATTCAGGATCAGTTTTTTTCTGCCCCTTTTCGGCCTGTTTTGCATATAAGGTCTCATATGTCTTTATTCGTTTTAAATCTGGTGATATTGTCTGCTTTTTACATGATATTAATTCTTAATTTTAAAAATATTTTTTAATCTTCCATTAATCAATAGGAAAAGCACACGTTTTTTTGCATTGTACCTACTTCTATACTACGATGAGAATAAACAAATTTGAAAACAATAAGATGTACCAGGGGAAGTACTTAAAATAAAAAGATAAATCAAAAGGAGATAAATTAAATAAGTGAATAAACAAGATAAAATCATATACCAATGACAAACCGACTTTGGGGATATCGGAAAATCGGAGCCAAATATCATTACTACAACATTATTATCGATACTATTGTGTAACGCGACCCTTGCCAAATCAAATAAATTTAATGGAACCAAACCCTTACTTTGATATACTGATAATATCATTATCTATATATATATATATATATATATATAACAGAGATAATAACCACAATACCATTATTATTATTATAATATATATGTTTTCATCCAAATATAATTTAAGTACCTATAATATTAAATGAGTAATATACTAAATATGTAATTTCTATAAGTTTAATATAATTGAAATTCGAAAAGCTGAGGAATTAATAAAAGTATTGATTACAGTGTATTCGCGTCTAATAATACTTGAAATTTATTCTCCAATGTGAACTTAGACATATTACATAGTACTTAGATATATTATGTTACTTAGACCTATTGGTCCCATCTGCCTTTACATCATATTTAATCATTTTAGTATCTAGAATTGAACACAAGCTTTTATAGCATAGCAACATAATGGTCTTAAATTAGACATGGTTTACAATTTGACATAATATTACAAGTATTATGTACTCGTAAATTTCCTTCATGATTTTATAGCGTAATTATTATGATATTACTGTGTTGCCATATAAATTAATTTTGTTAAGTAATTCGATTTAGAATCCTGATCCAAATAACAATTTGGTTCAACGACCTATAAACAGGATATCTACGCTTATTCTATTACACTAAATGATTTCATCATATGTACTTTTAGGGTTACTGAATGATGGAATGTTACAGCCGTTTGCAGATAAAAATGATTAGTTTATGGGTCATTGTATTTTTAGAATGCTATATTAGAAAAATAGTATTCTTCATCATGACCCTTCGTTACACTTAACTTTATCGTTCCTTTAGTGCGTGTATTACTTTATACAAATGAGGTATTTAGTGTACTATTAACGCAAACCGCTTAGCTTAAATTATCTTATTCAGATTAGTTCTCAGCAGCTTGATACAATGGAGCCTTCGTTTTGTATATAGCCTTATTATATGTCCTAGTACTTAACATTATCGTGATCGTTATGCCATACACCATCCAGTATAGATCATAGAACTCTACCATAACACAACAACAATGCATTTTTATTACTACGGACAGCTGGATCGTTACCTATATTGTACGGCTATTTATGTTATCTAACACTCAAGTTATTTCTTCAATTAGTATAAACGTTATGTCCAATTTGATTTTCCCATTTTGTTTCAGCCATCTGTATTTGGCATCAGAGATGAGAACGTTAATGTTTATTAGCCATATTGCTCTGCAATGAGTACCCGAAAATATATTTCGGCGTGCTTCTGACTGTTCTTTATTATATAATTTTCCATTTGCAAGCGATTTCATAGAAATTACGAGCGGTTTAATTGCGGACTCCTTTGCTACTAATTTAAATAATCTTTATTTTCGAAATGATTTTGCAGAAGTACCTTCTGTCAACTTAAACTCTCTAAATTATAATTAGGACCTGAGAAAATGAATACTATTACTTTATACAAAAAAGTACTAATTTAAGGTCTAATAGAAGTAGAATGGAATAATATTATAGATAACCAGTTTAAATGATTCAAAATAATTTAAATCACTTATATATCAGTTCTTTCAACTCATACATACATACATAATATATTAATATTATCTTTAGAGGTGAATATGTGCATGACGAAAGCATTTTTCCTATTATTTCCAAGCCTAGACTGCGCAGTGTAAGAATTTGCTTTTTTATTGATGCATTTAATTGATCAAGAGCGCCGCTCATCTCTATATCTGTACTGAATACATAAATTTTGATACATAATATAATATAAAGGAGAATGATAGTCTTGTAAAATTATATGATGACATATTAAGTTACATGGATGATACTAAGAGGGCGCTGAAACATCTATTTATCGTACCTATGTTTTTTCAACAAATAACCAACAAGGTATACGTTAGCACGCACTCAAATCTCAGTAAACCATTCCCGATCATTTCTTCAGCTATCTTATCCGGCTGTAATACGAGCGGTTTTATTTCAGGTGCAATGTTACCGTTTTCCTCTTTAAGCCCTTGAATTGCTATGGCTTACGGGGCGGATCGCGGTAGGGATTTGGAGTATGACGACTTACTTAACTGCTCTCTAAGTTACACTCAAATTACTATAATAAAGTACTATCTGTCTTTACAATGGATACAGTTTTTAACGTAATCTAAATGGCAAACATTCGGACAGCACTAAGGGTATCACGTTATCATGCGACACGATATCACTTATGCTATTATTATTGCACTTATATAATCCATAGGATTAACATGTCATTCTTCTTATCATGTAATTACACTGCTTAATTGCAACCTACAACCAAAACACAGCTTACGTAGCACGCTGCTTGGTAGCTCAAATAAATCGAGTGAGGTCCCCACGTTGAAGTTTACCATCTACCTCTGTTGATCACTTCATATACTTTTTGTTTTACATAAATGATTGTTTATTATTGTAAATGTATTATTATCATTAACAGAGAATTTACCAAGTTCACAATTTTCACAGTGCCATCTAAACCCTGGGTACTAGATAACATATTATACTTATACATATTATACATAGAAAATACCCAGACCGATACAAACAATCATACTCATGAAAACAAATGTTTGTGCCATGCGAGGAGTCGAACCCGCGACCATCGGAAGTAAGGCGGTGTGTAAAAAGTAAGAAACATCCATCCATATTCACAAACTTTTCATTTATAATAATAAGATATTATAATTATATTACTATTAAAAATGTATTGACGTTCTTCATAAAGTTAATTTTAATAGTGTTTTCTTTATAATACATCTTTTAAACCCACACATGTATATGTGATGTACATATACTATTGCATATAGAAGTTGTAATAAATTCAAAAAAGGCATGTCTGCTACTACAAGAATTCAGAAAGCTACGTAGATAAAAGTAAGGCTAAGGGTCAATAGAAATGATTTGTGGAGCCATCAGCGGGCCATCGCCGTAGGACTAAGGGTACGAAGAAATATAACGCTGAATGGTATAAAATATTCTGCTGGTGATTGTTACTTTTAAATATTATTTATAGTAATATTATAAGGGTTAGGAGTTTGTTTGATTGAATGCTCTAATATAACTGTGTAGCTTCTTAAATTGAAAAATTATTTTAGTGTTGTATAGCCCATTTATCGAGGAAGGCTATAAAACTTTATATCAACACGTTACGATTAATATTGACAGCCTCAGTGGTCTAGAGGTTTAGCACACCTCTTTACTATCCGATGGTCGCGGGTTCGATTCCTCGCACGGTACAAACATTTGTATTCATGAGTACGATTGTTTACGATTTATCGGTCTGGGTGTTTTCTATGTATTGTATGTATTTATTTACAAAAAAAAATGCATCCATGTATTTATATTAGTTGTCTAGTACCCATAACAATGCTTAGCTTGGGATTAAATGGCACTGTGTCGAAAAAAAAATTCGCGGAGCAGCAATGTAAAATGTTGCAAAAATGGAGTCTCTAATGGGACGTAGATGAAGTTCCGCGGGTCTGCTAGTCATTACCATCATTTCAGCCCGTAAGACGTCGAAACGTAAACAAAGGCAAAAATCTCCACTTGGTCAACTAGTAGTATATACTCGTACATATCTAATAATGTACGAGTTCAGTGTAATTTCATTGTGTGTTAAAACATTATTCTTTAACGTTTTAAACTCATTATATGACGTTTTGAGAGAAAATACTTTTAAAAATATACTACTTATGAATTATATATTAACCATGTA